GCCTTCTATTTAGGGTGGCCTTCTTATTTAGGGGGGCCTTCTTTTTTGGGGGGGGGTTTATGGGACGGTCCGTAAATTGAATGCTGATTCACTGAAAAGGACCGTAAAGGGCTCGGAGACGTCTCATTTTTGGCGGCGATAGTGATATATGTGTACGAAAGAATTTAAAGTTTTGGTTTTTTCTTTGAGATAAAATATATTTTTTGTGTGAACACAAAAAAATAGTGAAATTCATTTTTTTTGCACTTGTCGATAGCAAATTAAGATTTTTAGATGATAGAAGATGAGAAGTAAATGGATTGAACCCGTTTTAATACGAACAAATATTATAATGGTAATTTGACGTTCAAAAAACTTATTTCCTGTAGCTTGCTAGTCTGAGATCCTTCTTGAATGTTGAGCATTATGTTTTGTTTCAGAATTTTTAAAATCATAAAATAGTTTTTTGGTTAGTTAATTTATACTGTTTTTATTTTATATAATTGTTACATTCCCAATAATAGTTGGTCCTCCACCATTTTGAAATATATAAAAGCTAATGACATATAAGTCACCGGGCACAGTCGTCAGTGTTTGACTTAAAGAATCTATTTGTCCGTAACATCCATCTGAATAATAATAATAGCCGCTATGTGCAAAACCATAAGTATTATGTTCAATGTGTCCAGGATTACCAAAACTACATCCGGAATAATTCCATGGTGAAAAACTTCCTGTTTCAAATCCACCATTGCTCAAGATTTGCACAGCACCGTGATATACACTAACATCATCCAAACACCACGATCCAGGATCTTGACGTAAGGCAAATGTTAGTGTAGCCGAAGACGATGTTGCATACCAGTAATATGCATAACATGTATAATTTGATTCGGTTGTAGTCGGATTTATAACATTGTATAATTGACCTGTTATTGACCGCATATATGCACATGGTGCAACAGTAGTTGTAGCTAACAATACGGAAAAGAAATAAAACTTTTATAGATGGTTTAGTCTACAACGAATAGTGGACGGACTTGACAGTTCACTTACTCGTTTGTATAGTGGTTGTAGTTGTACTAGACGTTGTAGTGGTACTCGTAGTAGCTGAAAAAGATAAGCACTGTTGTATATTTTTTGTATTTTTGTATTTTGTGTTTTTGTTTTGTAAAAAATGATTTTAACTATCATACAGATCAGAGATAGGATATTCTATGTTCTGCATTTTAAAGTAGTGAAACATACTTGTTGTTGTGGTCTGCGTAGTCGTAGTAGTTGTGGTCGTTGTGGCTATTAAAAAAAGGAAAATCCTGCAGTTAGCATAAAGTAACATCATCACCTACGTAAAGCGGAATGTCTGATTTTACGTCTGCTTTTACACACATTAAATTTACACTTTGCATTTTTAAACTGGCAAAAGATTAGAATATTTTTAAACTTTATTTTCATCTCTCCAGTCCAATGGCCACTGGAATCGGGTGTACCATTTGTATCTATGGCCAAAGGTACCGAGACAATGAGCATGAAGTAGCTTGTCCAAGACTATCACGCGACTGCCGTTGCTGGGATTCAAACTGGTCGTACGTTGTCTGCTTATTAGCCGACTGAGATGCGCTGTCCTGATTAGAACTTTTAAACGCAAAGTTCAAAGTAGAGAGACAGACAAAGCGGAAAAGGTAGCCATGCAGCCACATTTTTCTCTAACTGTACATAGTCCACAGTTCAAGAAAAAACCAGCAAGCTTAGTCAATTAATGATGACAATGAATTATCAAAGAATTTAAAAGTTACCCGCCACGATGAATTTCGGTATTCTATTTATAGAAAGGAAGTATTGTAAGGTGCGCGTAATGAAAAAGTTGAGCAAAATTTTTTTAGACTTTATTAACTATCTTTTTCTGATTCAGCATTGAAAACTGCATAAAATAATAGTATTTGATCGATTTTTTAGAGTCAAAAGTCTGTCTATGAGAGATGTCCTAATCCACAATCCGTCAAATTCGGACCAGTAATTTTGTATTTATTTATTTATTCTCGGCGGCAAAGAGAAAAGGCATAGACAAAAGCTGGAGGCTTACAGACGCCTATCCCATGGCACACAAATACACACACAAAGACAAAAATTACAAATTACAAATGACTAGTTCTTTGAGGAAGTGTTGTATTTTTAAAACAACCAAATTGAAGGAAGAAAGTATCACAACATCGGGCGCTAAGCTGTTTCAGTCTTTTATTGTCCGAATTAAGAAATTATGGCGCATGACCGATGTAGAAAAATTACGTACTTCAATTTGAAATAAGTGTTTGCGAGGAGAATGCCGTGTTTTCAAGAAAGAAATAAACTTGCCTAGTAAAGTAACGTCGAGTAACTAGTAAAGTGCCACCGCTACGACAAAGTCGCCACATATGGTACGAGCAGCAATACGTTGAAGTGTATCTAAGGGCTCTAAATGGGTAGAATACATAGTGGGCATTCAGGCCTTCTTTTATCAAAAAAAACGCAAGTTTCATTTTTCACGTTTTAAATGGTGATCTCTATACTTCGAAGAACGGCCGATATGATGGCGAAAGAATTTTTGTTCTACGACTTTTCCTTCACGAAAAATTTATATGCCGAAAACTCCGGTTAAAACTGACGGCTTACTAGGAAAATCCAATTTTTTCGTAAATGTAATGTAGTGAAAACAGAAATGACTACATATTCTGAAAGCCCTCGAAATGAGTTATCTAAACCCATGAAAAAAGGTTGAAAAATAATTATGATTAGTTACAGAAAAAAACTTTATGTGTCGTTCAGGATGTGTGTGTAGGATGTGTCGTTCATCCTGATTGTTCTAGCTAATGCTCTGCATTAGAAAATTTGGTGCTTGCTCCGCGCTGAACCAAATTGGATAAAAATTGGGCACCAGATGCAAAATTTGTCGGTGAGTCCGATAGCGGGTTCCTTATAATTACATCTCCACTTCTTTATTGGCGTCGACATAATCAACGTGGTTTTTGCCTAATTTTATTTTTCTCAAACCAATGAGAAAA